CTTAATCTTATTACAGGGTAGTCTGATAGGTTTCGTTTCCATTATTTTCTTCACACCACTTATTGTTAATATTTATACAAACTCTTCTTTCTGTTAAATATTCAACGTTTTAGGATTGGACGATTTCGAATGCCGTCGAACGGAATTGATTCATGCATTAGTTTTGCAAGACTGTCTTTACTCATATTTAGAAGAACATATTGCTGAACCGAAAGGTCTGGGCGGTCGTAAACTTGACATACAATCCATTCTCGATGATGTACACTGATAAAAGATGGATCATTGTTTTTTATGCTTTTTTTTATACTTTTATTAGATAGCTGAATATGTTCCACCAACTATAGACATCGTCAATGGGTCAAAACAAGGTCAATATAAATTAAAAGGTGAAATATAATCGATGAGGAATGTTAAATAATAATGAACATTAAATGTTGAGATTTCTTGTGGGAAGATGAATTTGATCCATTGTTCATTTGGAATCGAATCAATCAAAAAGATGTGTTTGAATCTGCAATGGTTCGATATGCGAAATGGTGATAAAAAACTTCACATATGTAACAGAAAGAAGAGTTTGTATAGATATTACCAATATGTGGTGTGAAGACAATAATGGAAGCTAAGACTATCAGACTACCCTGTAATAAGGTTACGTAGGTTGATTTGTCAAATGCTAAATTAATATCCGGTCTTTGTAGTAGCCAATCAGAAACATGGAAACTAGAAGAAAAGAACGAGTGTTGAAACGAACAAACATTTCATTTCTGGAACCTTTTGAAAATCATTTCATTAAAAGTGTTCACATTGACTAGTGTAGCAACTATCTAGTGCAAAGAAAGAAAGATATCATGTCACTTGATTTTGTATACTTGATTTACACCTGTAAAAGATACAGATCTGCGTCGTTCATATACGTGCACATATTTCCACGAATAGTTGAATACATGTCTGATTGACTTTGCATTTCGTATGTCCCATAGGTCCAGATGGTATTTGAAACAATCTCGTATTTTACCACTTGAATTCTTAAGGGAAATATTGCTAGACAATGTAAGAACGCTCGATTTTCAACAGAAAATAAGTCGTTTAATAGGCCATTTTGGTAGTTCAGTGAAACATAACTTAAAATCGATAGATATCGATGCAATGGCAAGTGATATGTTATTTGATCTTGTCTAATCTAAAAGGAAATAAGTGCAGTCAATAAAAGTCTATTAAGCCAATCTACATCGAAGTGATGTTTTAATTCAATTGCTAATAGCCATTCTTTAATTGTCATTAGTAGATAGTTAATAGCAGCTGATGTAACACTGAGAAAATCCTTTTAGAAATCGTCGATGTCGTGATAATTATTGATGAAAATCTATGAAGCCTACTGGTGTCATGATATGAGCAATCATTGTCCATAGTGCCATAGCACAACATTCAATTTCAATGGTGAAAGCAAAAAGGTAGTTCGTATTACTCTGATGCAAGATGTCAAGCTCCGGCTTCTGATGATTGACATTCATACCTATAAATGATGTATGACCAAATAATGTAAGAGGATGATCAGCTTTACCCTGAAATCCATTAATTATACTTATCCAAGTTAACAGAAAGTTTTCTTTAGTTATCAATTGTCGACTGGCATGTTCATGTGATAAAATATTCATAAAATCAGATATCATCGGCCAATAATGCATACTTCGAGAGAAATCACCTTCGGATATAACAAAATGGCAATTGGTATTTGGATTTTGTAATTGACAATTGGTTTTCACACGATCAAATAATGCATGAAGTGATGAAAGGATGATTTCCATCAAATGATAATTTTCAATCGCCCGAGTTGTTAGATGAGTATTGGAAAATAATTGAACACTTATATGTACAAGTCGAGAAAGATTAATTTTCTCGCGACTGTTTTGCGTTTTTATCATTTGAGCAATGACAATTCCGTAGACATTTAAAAACGATTGAGTAAATACATCTTTGAAATCTGGCTCGGTTAATAACATAAGAGAGAACTTCAGTAATCGCTCAGAAATTTGATATTTCATCAGCCAAAAAAGCATCTCGTCAAGAAGACATCTTGCCTCTTGAGTAACGAAAGACTCGGAAAACTCGTCTGTTTGCAATAGCAACGGTATAGATAAGCTTGACGTTTCTTTCAGTTGCTCGAGATAGACATCGTGGGTTATATTTTGAAGATCAGATAATGGTGATTGTTCGTTAAATTGGTTGTACATTTCGGTATCAAGTAAACAATGTGTGAAAATCGAACGAATTGTTGAACCGGTATCACACAGATCATCGAGCAGATCAAATAAAGGTGATAAGGAATCAAATTCGTCGATAGTTACATATGAGTTCGATACTAAATAGTAGAGTGGCACTATCTTCTGCGTTCGTCTTTTTTCAAATACCTACGAGTGGGCGATGCATGACTACGTAAATGTTGAACAAATCGAGTGATCAATCTTGGCAGAACAATCTGCGCACTTCGAATGTGTTTCCCTAATACATGGCCATCTGAAATCCGGTTTGAACCGTGGTGTTTGCAAAAACCATCAGATTTCATTACAGTCCCATCACCACAGTCACACACGCCGCCACCAAGGCTTCGAAACATGTTGACATCATGCTCAACATGATTACCCGCATAAAAGCAATAAGGACATAGGNTATGATTCAATCGAACGACAAATCCAAGCATAGCGTTGTCATCCTTGTTCTGGCAAATACAACATTCAAGATTATTGTTCATCGTACTGGCCACAGAAGCAACTAAAAGAGAAGAAATATATGAGCACGTTCAGAAATCATGCGATTCAAATAAAGTATCAAGACACCTTCTGGCGTCCAAGTATTTGTTGATATGTCTAAAATATTCTGTTGTTTCTTCGCAATACGCTCGAACATTTTCTGTTGCATTTCTTTTGCTTTAGTTTTCCTAAAATTAATAAAAATCATTCTTTCAAGCAGACAGATTCATCTTAATCTTTGCACTTGTCAGCATTATCTGTAGAGTATGTTGATTGTTTACTATCGATTTGATGAACTAAGTCATTCATTTGCACTTTACATTCATCGGATAACCTTTCTAACTTAATCAAGAGACGCGTAAGATAGAAAATGCCATTCCCAAAGCGTTCTTTTCCTCGTTTCATACGAGCTTGGAAAAGTACGTCATTCAATGACATGTGTTGATGAGTTTCATTGTTGATATTGAATAGTACTTTCGCAAGTAGACAAACGAGTATTTGTACAAGAGATAAATTAATAGGTTTTGATTCAGTGATGGTCTTCGCATTTGCTTGAATCAATACTTGCCGGGAGGTGTTCACTGGTAGTTTAACTAAGAAATGTGCTATACAAGAACAATCGAAGATAGTCGGCTTTAAGAGATTTACGCTCTGTATAGACACAACGATGTTCCTCGACTTTAGATGCTATTTGATCTACGTAAATCATATCACTGATTATGAAAACGTCTCTTGAGATACAAGACCTTCTCCGTCATCAAGGACAATTTGTTCAAATGATATTTTCCCAATGATCGTATGTGCATTAGTAATTATATCATCACTCTCATAGAATGTTTCATATTTGCCATCAATAATCTTCTTCTCCGCTAATGTCTATAAATAGCAATCTCTCCTATAAAAACCGAGAGATCAATACAGATATACTTCATTTTTCTCAATAGCATCGAATGGCGTTGAGGGAACTCTAAAATCTAAGTACTGCTCAAATTTACTTCCAGTTGATAATTACAACTTTACATTTGATCTTGTGCCGGTGACGGTTCTAGTTGAGTCTTCGTTTCGGTAGGTATTTCCGATGATCTTGAATCTTCCGCTCCAACATTCTTTTCATATGATAATGGCTGAATGGCCGACGTGGTATAATTATTAAGAAATTTACCATATTTTAACCGTCGAATTTGCTAAACGAGGTTTATACTAGATCATAAACGAATGGTCTCAGATGAACACGTACATCATCCAGAGCTAATTCGCATAGATATACCACTAATGAAAGGATATCTTCATGAATGAGTGTTTCAGACATGATCTAAACGTATTTTACAGCATTACAAACAAAACCATCTGTCGTTACCCAGTGACAAATTGAAAAGAGTACTCCGTGCAAGTAACGGCTTTGCAGAAGACATCGCCGGTTTGTTTCAAATTGATCTTTCGGTTTATGCAAACGATAAGGTGGCCAGATATTCACCGACTTTGCCCTATGAAATTATAAGTATAATCACACATTTTGATCCTCAATGAAATTCAAGTTAGTACCAGCATTGCCTATTCTTCTCCTATGAATATCTAATGCATCAGTCAAGGAAGAAAAAAAACGGGCTGATTGAATATTTCTATTCGTGACAGTAGTCATCTGGTGTCTACGCTGTACGATGTCGATATTGAGAGACAAGAAACATTAGGATCGAGCTTAACATTTGTATTCACTTATTCAACTACTCTTTTTGTGCCTCTCTATTGAGTTCTACTATTACATATGTGAATGTTTTCATCACCATTTCGCATATCGAAGCATTGCGGATTCAAACACATCTTTTCGATTGATTCGATTCCAAATGAACAACGGATCGAATTCATCTTCCCACAAGAAATCTCAACATTTAATGTTCATTATTATTTAATATTCCTCATCGATTATAGTTCACCTTTTAATCTATATTGACCTTGTTTTGAACCATTGACAATGTCTATAGTTGGTGGAACATATTCAGCTATCTAATAAGAGTATTTAAAAAAAAGCATGAAAAACAATGACCCATCTTTTATCAGTATACATCATCGAGAATGGATTGTATGTCAAGTTTCCCGCCGCCAAGGCCTTTCGGTTCAGCAATATGTTCATCTAAATATGAGTAAAGACAGTCTTGCAACACTAATGCATGAATCAATTCCGTTCGACGACATTCGAAATCGTCCAATCCTGAAATGTTGACTATGCAACAGAAAGAAGGATTTGTATAAATACTACCAATATGTGGTGTGAAGACAATGATGGAAGCGAAGACTATCAGACTACCCTGTAATAAGGTTACGTAGGCTGATTTGTCAAATGCTAAATTGATATCCGGCCTTTGTAGTAGCCAATCAGAAACATGGAAACTAGAGGAAACGAACGAGCGCTGAATCGAACAAACATTTCATTTCTGAAACCTTTTGAAAATCATTTCATTAAAAGTGTTCACATTGACTAGTGTAGCAACTATCTAGCAAAGAGAAAGAAAGATGTCATGTCGCTTGATTTAGTATACTTGATTTACACCTGTAAAAGATACAGATCTGCGTCGTTCATATACGTGCACATATTTCCACGAATAGTTGAATACATGTTTGATTGGTTTTGCATTTCGTATGTCTCATAATTCCAGATGGTATTTGCAATGGTCTCGTATTTTACCACTTGAATTCTTAACGAAAATATTGCTAGGCAATGTAGGAACGCTGCACTTTCAGCAGAAAACAAGTCGTTTAATAGGCCATCTTGGTAGTTCAGTGAAACATAACTTAAAATCGATAGATATCGATGCAATGGCAAGTGATATGTTATTTGATCTTGTCGGATCTAAAAGGAAGTAATTTCAGTCGATAAAAGTATACTAAGTCAATCTACATCGAAGTGATGTTTTAATTCAATTGCAGATAACCATTCTTTAATTGTAATTAGTAGATAGTTAATAGCAACTGATGTAACATTCAGGAAATCCTTTTAGAAATCGTCAATGTCACGATGATAGTTGATGAAAATCTATCAAGCTTACTGGAGTCATGATATGAGCAATTATTGTCCATAGAGCCGTAGCACAACATTCGATTTCAATGGTGAAAGCGAAAAGGTAGTTCGTATTACTCTGATGCAAGATGTCGAACTCCGGCTTCTGATGATTGACATTCATACCTACAAATAATTTATGATCAAGCCATGTAAGAGGATGGTCAGCTTTACCTTGAAATCCATTGATTATACTTATCCAAGTTAACAGAAAGTTTTCTTTAGTTATCAATTGACGACTGGCATGTTCATGTGATAAAATATTCATAAAATCGGAAATCATCGGCCAATAATGCATACTTCGAGAGAAATCATCTTCGAATATAACAAAATGGCAATTCGTATTTCGATTTTGTAATTGACAACTGGTTTTCACACGATCGAATAATGCGTGAAGTGATGAAAGGATGATTTCCATCAAATGGTAATTTTCAATCGCTCGAGTTGTCAGATGAGTATTGGAAAATAATTGAACACTTATATGTACAAGTCGAGAAAGATTCATTTTCTCGCGACTATTTCGCGTTTTTATCATTTGAGCAATAGCGATTCCGTAGACATTTAAAAACGATTGAGTGAATACATCTTTGAAATCTGACTCGGTTAATAACATAAGAGAGAACTTCAGTAAACGCTCAGATATTTGATATTTCATCAGCCAAAAAAGCATCTCGCCAAGAAGGCATCCTGCTTGTTGAGTAACGAAAGACTCGGGAAACTCGTCTGTTTGCAATAGCAATGGTACAGACAAGTTTGATGTTTCTTTCAGTTGTTGTAGATAGACATCGTGGGTTATATTTCGAAGATCAGATAATGGTGATTGTTCGTTTAGTTGTTTGTACATTTCGGTATCAAGTAAACAATGTGTGAAAATCGAACGAATTGTTGAACCAGTATCACATAGATCATCGAGTAGATCAAATAAAGGTGATAAGGAATCAAATTCGTCGATAGTTACATATAAGTTAGATTCTAAATAGTAGAGTGGCACTATCTTCTGCGCTCGTCTTTTTTCAAATACTTACGGGTGGGCGATGCATGACTACGTAAATGTTGAACAAATCGAGTGATTAATCTTGGCAGAACAATCTGCGCACTTCGAATGTATTTCACTAATACTTGCCCATCTGAAATCCGGTTAGGACCGTGTTGTTTGCAAAAACCATCACATTTCATTACAGTCTCATCACCACAGTCACACACGCCGCCACCAAGGCTTCGAAACATGTTGACATCATGTTCAGCATGATTACCCGCATAAAAGCAGTCAGGGCATAAGCTAGAGTNTATGACTCAATCTAACGACAAATCCAAGAGCAGCGTTGTCATCCTTGTTTTGACAAATACAACATTCGAGTTTATTGTTCATCGTACTGATCACAGCAGTAACTAAAAGAAAAGAAATATATGAGTACGTTCAGAAATCACGCGATTCAAACAAGGTATCAAGACACCTTCTGATGTACAAGTATTTGTTGATATGTCTAAAATATTTTGTTGTTTCTTCGCAATACGTTCAAACATTTTCTGTTGCATTTCTTTTGCTTTAGTTTTCCTAAAAATGATAAAAATCATTCGTTGAAGTAAATTGATTCATCTTAATTTTTGTACTTGTCAACATTCTCTGTACAGTATGTTGATTGTTTACTATCGATTTCATGAACTAAGTCATTCATTTGCATTTTACATTCATCGGATAATCTTTCTAACTTAATCAAGAGACGTGTAAGATAGAAAATACCATTTCCAAATCGTTCTTTCCCTCGTTTCATACGAGCTTCGAAAAGTACGTCATTTAATGACATTTGTTGACAAGTTTCATTGTTGATATTGAATAGTACTTTAGCAAGTAAACAAACGAGTATTTGTACAAGAGATAAATTAATAGATTTTGATCCAGTGATGGTCTTCGAATTTGCTTGAATCGATACTTGACGGGAGGTATTCAATGGTTGTTTAACTAAGAAATGTGCGATACAAGAACAAACGAAGAGACTCGACTTTAAGAGATTTACGTTCTGTATAGACACAATGATGTTCCTCGACTTTAGATGCTGTTTGCTCTACGTAAATCAATATTAATGATTATGAAAGCGTCTCTTCAGATACAAGACCTGCTCCGTCATCAAGAACAATTTGTTCAAATGATATTTTCCCAATAATAGTATGTGTATTAGTAATTATATCATCACTCTCATAGAATGTTTCATATTTGCCATCAATAATCTTTTTCTCCTCTAATGTCTACAAATAGCAACCGCTCTTATAACAACCGAGAGATCAATACAGATATACTTCATTTTTCTCAATTGCATAGAACGGCGTTGAGGAAACTCTAAAATCTAAGTACTGCTCAAATTTACTGCACGTTGATAACTACAACTTTACGTTTGATCTTGTGCCGGTGACTGTTCTAGTTGACTCTTCGTTTCGGTAGATATTTCCGATGAACTTAAATCTTTCACTACAACATTCTTTTCACATGATAATGGCTGAATGTCCGACGTAGTATAATCATTGAGAAATTCACCATGTTTTAACCGTCGAATTTGCTAAACGGGGTTTATACTGAATCATGAACGATGTGTCACAAATGAACACTTACATCATCTAGAGCTAACTCGCATAGATATACCACTAATGAAAGGATGTCTTCATGAATGAGTGTTTCGGACATGATCTAAACGTATTTTTCAGTGTTACAAACAAAACCATCTGTCGTTACCCAATGACAAATTGAAAAAAGTACTCCGTGTAAGTAACGACTTTGTAGAAGACATCGTCGGTTTGTTTCAAATTGATCTTTCGGTTTATGCAAACGATAAGGTGGCCAGATAT